TTTTCACACAGCACATGGGCACTTCACTTTAGCATACCAACTAGGCAGAAACCTCAACTGAGAAGCTGCCTCCATCAGATTGGCTGGTAGGCAAGCCTGTCAAACAATTTCTTGTTCAACGATTGGTATGGGAGGGCCCAGCCCACTGTGGGTGGTGTCACCCTGGAGCAGGTTGTCCTAGAGGGTATAAAGAACGCAGGCTGAGCAAGCCATGGAGAGCTAGGCAGTGAGCTTTAGTATTGCATTGCTTCTGTAAGCTGAAATAAATGATTTCCTCCTGAATTACTTTGACCTTGGTTTTATTTACCACCGCAATAGAAAGAAAACTAGTGCACCTAAGGATACGCTTGTAGGATTTGCTCTAAACCTACAGATTCACCCAATGCACACACATAAACGAGATCAGCATATAAACACTACACACAGCTGAAAATGGTGGCAGGTGAAATATCCACTCACTTTGAAACAGTACGGAGGAAATAAGGAGTTAACACCCAGGGAAGACTGAAACCACACCAAGCACAGTCATGCCTTGAGCAGGCTGTTGCAGGACACTTTCATGATTATATGACTTGGGAAATTTTTGTACATAGTAAATTAAACTCGAGGGATATGACTCTGTTCTCCTTGCAGGAATTCAGGTGGTGCATATGCTGTTTTACAGTCCTTCCTGCCCATCCTTCCTCTGCCTTCAGCCTCCCCCCCCCAAAAAAATGTGTTTCCCTTTATAATGCTCTAAAATGATTTTTATACTGATATGAATACAAATAACACTAAATCCAAAACATCCTGGTTCCCTACCCAATGGCAGAGCTAGCTGAGGAACAACAACTTATCGGTTCTTTCACTCCTTCCAGATAACAGCTAAATATTGATAAGTCTTTATTTACACATTTCACAAAATATTGATATGCCATATACACTGACCTTGCTTCCATTCCCACATAGACTGACAAACTTGTTCTTATCCATACATGTAAAGCCCATCTCATTCTTTTTTATTGGTTGTGTAATTTACTTAACTGTCCTGTTGAAAGATAAGCTCAGTTTTGAACTTTGGAATTACCTAACAAACCCATATAAATATGGAATGTGGACTAAGTTCCTAGAAGCACACAATGGAATATTTATTACTCAGCATTAAAAAGAAACTGCTGTAAGTGCCAATGTCACTGAACTGGAGGACATTCTACTTAGCAAAATAAATAGTCAATAAGAAACATGTAAACCTTGTGTGATCCTGATTGCAGGGAAGTTGGGGGTGTACAGTAGTCAGATTAGGAAAGGAAGGAAACAGAATAGTGCTTGCCAGGGGTTGGGAGGAGAAGGGAAGGGAAATTACTTAATAGATGACTTTAGATGGAGACAGTTTTGTGGATGGATGATAATGACACAAAGTGTGATTTAATGTCACTGAACTGTATAAATGATTTGGTGACAAGAGCAAAACTATGTTTTCATCCTCAAATTTATTTTTTAAACTAAAAAAAAATCAGAGTTTAAATTAACTGACTCATTGGTTTCACTGTGGGGAGAGAGACAGGCTCTCTCTATGTAGCTAGTCCTGGCTTGTCTAAAGCACTTGCCTCTGTCTCTTGAGTGCTGGGATTAAAGGTGAGCGCCGCTACATTTTTACTTTTAGTTAGATCATCTTATTTCAAATTTAGGGATGTCCTACCTGATTTTTTTATGCCAGCTCTTCTTGTGTTGTGATGACCCCTCATAACTCATCAGAATCCATTAGTGATCTGTTGGGGAAGTCCTGTTATTTGCCTGTGCATTTGTCAATAAAGTACTGTCTGGCCAATAGAAAACCTAGATAGGAGGGACTAGGAGTCGAGGAGGATTCTGGGAAGGGAAAACACAAGAGAGTCAACATGTAACGCCATTGGGGGTAGGAAGCCTGGAACTATTCTCCGGTAAGAGACATACTTAGATTAACAATTATGGGGTAATTACTTAAAGCAGAGCTAGCCAGTAAGAGACAAACAAGGCCAACAGCTTCATAATGAATATAGCCTCCTGTGTGTTTATTTGGGACTCATGCGGATCTAGAACCAGGCTGGCGCGGCAGAGCCCAGGCGACTGGCGGGGGATAACCAAAGCGGCTAGCAAAAGAAAAAGCTTCTCTTAACAGAATGGTTGTCAGGAGCGGGATTGAATTTCCACGCAAAACAACAAAAGCTTTAAAGGAATTTTAAAAACAGAAGAACAGAGAGAAGCACAGATTTTGGTAGCAGCATTTTTCTCAGGTGTGCTCTGTTTTGCTATCGACAAGCCGAGATTCACGTGGCTCGTTTACCGGAGTCTTCCTGACTCAGCATAAAAAGAAAAAAACCAGCAAGGTTGTTTTAAGAGACTCTGCTACCGATTGAAAGGTGTGTACGTACAGCTGGAAGTGGCAGCTTTTGCTGGAGGTCAGCATGGACTGAGGCGGTAAGCTGGAGTCAGCTTACGCCCGCCATCTTGAAACGGCAGTTTAAAACAGCCGCGGTTTTACAGATAAGACACGTGGCCAGAAAAACATAAAGATTTACAGTAAAGTCAGACTTGGATAAAGAAAAACTTCTAAAGGTTTACAGTGTGTTTAAAAATATATGTGAGATTGAGAGAGAAACTGAAACGGCAAAGTGGTAAATAAATACAAAAGCCGGCATTGTGGTGGCGCACGCCGGTAGGATTGCTCCAGAGGCAGAGGCAGGCAGGTTTCCAAAGAGAAACCCTGTCTCAGAGAAAAATAAATAAAAGTGAAAGAAATAAAGTAATAATAGATAAATAAATAAGCCACGTAAAGATGGAAAATACACAGAGAGTCTGGATACTGTACGCTATTGTGTTTTTCAGTTTTTTGCTTGCTCAGGAAGGAACTGCTGCTAAAGTACACTTGATTATAAATGCTGCTGAATTAATCCAACTTCTATCTTTTGAAAATGCCTTGACCTCAAAATTTAAGTATAAGGATATGTTACTCGGAAAAGGAGTTTTAATTTATGTTTCCACAGAACATAAAAAGCTGAGAATTTCTTCCAGGCTTCTGTGGTTTGATGAACCAAGACCCCCAGAAACAGTGGAACAGATGTTCCAACAATTGAAACAGCTAAGAAGATGCAGTCTTACAGACCCCAAAAATACGGACTTATACAGGTTTCTGAGTTTTGTCATGATCCCCATGGTATGAACAGCGCCCCCTTCCAGCAGGAAGCAGTTTGGAATGAGCGACGTCCCAATTCCCATCTTGTTTATAAATCTTTGTTTTCATTTAAATGGGATTGTTTATAATTGGCTAGTGATCACAGCCAATCTTTTTTAATGGTAAAAAGGGGAATTATGGTATGGGTATTGTTTTTCATTTATTGAGACAAAATCAAGGTCAATTTTGTGATGCTTATATTTCTCCTCTTGATTAAGTATTATGCTTATACTGATCTTTTACAACATAATGCATAATTGAATACAGACTATAGATAGTTACTTATAATAGAATTTCTAGTTACATAAGTTAGGTTTCTAGATATACAGAAATATATTTGAGATGGACAGTCTTCAATCCTCTCAAAGACCTTCAGAACATGGCATTTAAAATGGTTTAGGGTTTGTCTTGACAATGAGAAATGTCTGCTCCTGGCAGCACCAATTACGTCTGAGAGGAAGATGGGCATCGAAGAAACTCGTTATAAAGTTTGCTTTCAACATGGCAAGATTAGCCATTTGGGCAAGAAACTGCTCTTGCCTAGATTGTTTGACTGTTGTTGTATCACCTGGACATGCAGGACCCACAGGAAAGTGACTACTGAACTCAGTCTTACAGGGTTCCTGCTTGATGAAGAGTCTACGAGACTTTCTGCAGGACAAAGAAAAATGACTGACAGACTGCCAACACAGATGGACAGTTTGAAATTTCCTGCTTTGCTGAGAAGTGTTCCAGACACATTGTGGCCTATGGGCTGAAGATGGATGCCCCAACGTTACAGAGGAACTTCGGGTGACTGTCCAGGCAGTAAGATGTCTCTGTCAATCCTAGTGTTTATATATTATCCTTCCGTGGTCTTTGATGGAGTTGAAGACAGATAGTTATAATTATAGGTTCCTTTAGTTATGATAAAAGATAAGCTACATATAGGACTTTGGACTCACAAGGATGGGATGGATGATATTTTCTTTAAATCTTGCTAAAATATTGTAACTATGTTCTTACTTGATAACTGTTCTGTCATATACAATTTGACTATGTTAAAATTAAGACCTTTCTTTTGTTTAAACAGAAAAGAGGAGATGTTGGGGAAGTCCTGTTATTTGCCTGTGCATTTGTCAATAAAGTACTGTCTAGCCAATAGAAAACCTAGATAGGAGGGACTAGGAGTCGAGGAGGATTCTGGGAAGGGAAAACACAAGAGAGTCAACATGTAACGCCATTGGGGGTAGGAAGCCTGGAACTATTCTCCGGTAAGAGACATACTTAGATTAACAATTATGGGGTAATTACTTAAAGCAGAGCTAGCCAGTAAGAGACAAACAAGGCCAACAGCTTCATAATGAATATAGCCTCCTGTGTGTTTATTTGGGACTCATGCGGATCTAGAACCAGGCTGGCGCGGCAGAGCCCAGGCGACTGGCGGGGGATAACCAAAGCGGCTAGCAAAAGAAAAAGCTTCTCTTAACAGTGATCTTTATTTTTAAAACATTTTCTGTTTTCCATGTTTGTGCAGAGAAGGAAGCCTGTTTTCTCTGCACTTGTGGTTTCTAGGTTGTCTGATGTTCCTGTAATTCCTCTACAGCAGGGTTTCCTCTGCAGCCTTTAGATGCCCGTGTCTTTTCTGCATCCTGCTCTTGTTGAGAAGGCATCTTCCAGTGTGTGTGGGAGGTCTGTGTCCCCAGGGGTACTTGGAACACAAGCCCCCATTTTGTCTTGTCTCATTTCATCATTGCATCTGATATTTAGAAGAATTTGAGGTTGGGGAAAGCTTATGTGCAGACTTCTAAGTAATTGAGAATGCCATCTGGGCTCTTCTGAACACTCGGCTGAGGCCTCCTGCCACCACTGCAGCAGCTGGGCTCCTTGCCCTGGGACCTCTTCCTGTCTGGATTGTCTTCACTTCCGGCTTCCTCATCTTCGGGGACTGCCCTCCATCCTTACTGATGGACAGTACCCAATCATACTTTTTAATGGGTTTATAGACTTACTATTTCAGGCATTGTTTTTGACTATTCAACCCTCCTACTCACCATGCCTGCACTCATTATTCATAATGACTTTTAAAGAGCTGCTCTGGGTGGGGCCACTCTGCCGCGGCTCTACACTCAGCTGCTGGATTGCATGCTTCTGAATGGTGCTGAGTGGTTCCCCACTCTGGAGTGGGACCCACCAACCCATTCTCAATGGCAGGCTCCCAACCAGGCCAAAGGAACCCTTGTGACCAATGAAGGCGCCTTCTCACCAGCTGCTGGGTACTTGAAACCTGCCACCTCTTAACATGCCCCAGCCTCACAAGCACTTCCCCAGGCGTGCAGGAGGCCACCATGTTCTGCCGCTACTGTGAGAGGAAACACTGTTAGTTTTGATCCCTGTGCCATAAAGAATCAATGCACAGCCATGGGGCAGAGGGAGTCATAAGGCATCCTTTTGTTCAGAAGCAATTAGTGCATTCCGGTAGAGCCAGTTCTGGGCAGGGGGCAGAGGGAGTAGCCACAAAATGGCCTTTGTCCGAACTCCCATAAAAAAATTCCAGCCAGTGGGAGTGAACACAGATGTAGTCCAGAGAGTAGATTGTAGATGCCCCGGATTGTGGCTTCCACAGTGAAAGTATTCCAGGACTTCATGGATCGTGGTCTATAGAAGGGGGAGGGAAACAGATACCTTCCCCAAGGAGAGGAGCCCCTTCATCATGGTGGGGATTTGACTTACTGAGGACTTGGTCTCTACATAATCCAGAGTTGTTTTCTTTACTAGCATTCAGGTGCAGCTGGAAAAGGTGCCTTTCTGCCTCCCTTCATCTCTCCTCCGTGCCTGTTCCTGGTACCTGGTAACTGTGTATTTGGGTCCTTTGGCCCATAGCTAAATAACTGCAAAACCAGTTTATCATTTGGGAATTACAGACATTATAAGTAAAACTTACTCTCCAGATAGGTGCCATTTCCCCAGTTCTAACCCAGACAAAATGAAGAACACGCGCTTGGTATAGATGGGTGGAGTTCACCTGGCAGCAGTGAATTCTCCCCCCATCTGCCTACCTCATAGGATGCCAGATGGTGACAATCAGGAGTCGATACCACATCTGACCTTATCTATCCATGAGCTATCAGATGGGCATTTTTCTGTGCTTTGCTTTCCTCTGCTTTACAAGGGACATGACGACAATGCTTCCCTCGTGGGGCTCTGGAAGCATTAAGTGATGGAAGATGTGGTGTGTTCAAAACAAACACTCCCTGGCACTCAGACAGTAAATGGACCGGCTTCAGTTCCATCAAGAGCCACAGAGGGTAAGCAGCCCCAGTCACACATGCTCTGAAAGGCTTTTCCGTTGAGGGGCATCATCAGAAGGTGGTGGGCAGATGAAAGGGATTCTTATATTTTTTAGCATTGGGTCACAGATGTCTCCATTGCTAACCACAGTGTACAGAGTAAGGGCACCCAGGCAGGCAGCCCTAGTCTTGTTGTTCTCCCTTCCAAGAAGACAGAATTTGTTCCATGGGTCTATGGAGCACCTAGAAGAGACTGTGGTGATGAGCATCTGAATGATTCGTGGGGCCCTGAACAGAAGCTGCCCCACAGGGACAGAAAAGCTTCAAGGCATGAGACTTCTAGATCTGCATCTGCATATAGGAGGAGGCTAATTGAACTTACAGCTAAGTCTTCTTACAAATCTAGAAATAGTAGAGTTATGCAGTTTTACTTCTTTGTGAAAATTAGCCACCTGTCTCAGTGCCAGACTCCAGCCATCCACCATAAAAATAAGCAAACCTGCATGTTTGAACAAAGAACTGAAAAATAGCTGTGAGCTGTCCAGCCTCAAACAGTAGAAACAACCATCATAAAATGATAGAACAAAACACAGTGAGGCGCATTTAAGTTCTTTCTGGCAGTGAATTCACTCTCTTCCTAGTACAGCATGTCTTTTTGTGAGTGAATCCAATGATTCACATCCACTGGACTTTGGCTTATAATTGAATTTTTATGAAGTTTAAGCTTTTTATTATTGTATGTGTAGGGGAAGGGTGTGGGTTTCATGCCCACGCTGGAAATCACCTCTCTGGTCTTCCATAACCTCCCCGACATGATTCAGAATGCCTGTGTCGTCACCATCATCACTAGAGCTGTCATTCACTGGTCCCCAGGTTCCAGGAGCTCGCAGTATCCTTATAGAATCCTAAAAAGGAGGAGGTTTGTAGGTGGATGGCATGCAGGGAGACACAGCCCCAGACTGCTTTAGAGTTTCAGTTGTGGTGAAACTTTTCTCTGCACTCTGATGTAACGTCATAGTACAACTGAAGTTATTTTCACTTTCTAGTCAGGATAGAGCCAAGTCTTATCATTTGCTTGTGATTTTCATCAACCAATCAACACATAATTTTAATGGGTGTGTAATCTCTCTGTATTTGTTTATTCTTTCTCTGTTTAGAGATAGGGTCTTGCTCTACATCCCAGTGTCCTAGAACTTGAGAGCCTCCTGTCTTAGCTTTTCAAGGGCTGGCTTCCAGTAGTGTGCCACAGTGCCTGGAGCTGTGCCCTCTTCAAAGATTCTTCTAATATATTAGTGTCTGCAGATTCAACCAGCTGCGAGGTGTGGAAGGTGTTCTCGAATGACAGCTGTTCTCATGGATACTGCCACAACTTTTCTTATAAAATGCATGTGCTATCAGTAACAAAAGAGAGAGAGCATAGCAAAGTCTGCAGTCCCAGCATTCCTAACTTCTGTCGTCATGAACGTGACCAGACTTCTTTCTAGCCACATTTCCCTAGGCAGCACAGCATAAGTGATGTCTCAGTAAATGTTGTGTGATGCTTAACATGACAGGAGGTAGGCAGGTAATCTGTAAATTCTGTGCCATTTTATGCAAGGGCTTTGAGCATCTGAAGATTTGGGTAGGGGAGAATTCCTGAAACCAGTTGTAAATGGTGTTCTTAATTGGTCTAAGTAACAAAAATCCAAGTCAGATATGTATGGAGGAAAGGCTGAGAGATCAGAGAGAAGGAGCAAACCACTGCCACACCTTACCTCCCAATGTCTCAGCAGACAAGAGTTCCTATTTTTCCCTGCTTATATACTTTTTCTGCCCAGCAATATCACTTACTGTCCATCTGTACAGACCTCCAGACCTCTATGGTTAGCTAGTGACAAGCTCCATTCTCTGGCCTTCAGACAGGCTTTATTTGCACAAGCAAGATATCACCACACCAATTACTTGAAGATGTACATCTACTGATTGATCAACACTGAATTTAACCCACGAACAGCAACCAAGGGCCAGTTAGTCACAAATAATTGTTTATTATTAGACAACAGTGTTCTTGTTTAACAAAGTTAAATTCACAGAAACAGATAGAGATTGGGGCATAGGGAGCAATTAAGGAATTAATCAAAGAGCCCAAAGTTTAAATGGGTAAGAGCAAGTTTTGAGATCTGTTGTACAACAGGGTGACTGTAGTCTAGAATAATGTAAACTGGGGAATTGCAAAATGGCTCAGTAGGTGAAGACACTTGCTAAACAAGCCTGCAACCCTAGGGTAATCTCTGGAACCCACATAAAGGTTGAAGGAGAGAACCAATTCTACAAAGCTGTCCTTTGCCCACATAGGCCCCACCGTCACCATTATAATAAACAAAAATCTTTATAAGTTTAAAAAATAACTAAGGGAGTATGAACTGAGGATATCTCAGAGGTAGAATTAATGCCTATTAAGCATGAGGCCCTGGGTTCCAACCACAGAATGGGTTGGGATATTTCAAATAACTCACCAAATGAAGTGGCAGGTAAGGTAAACAAAGGATATGTCTGTTAGCTTTCTTTAGTCATTTCACACTGTATACATGGATCAAAACGTGACACTGTATGTCATAAGAGTGTAATTATGATTTGTTAGTCAATACTGGCAATAACTTACAAGCTGATTCTTGAAGTGATTCTATAAGTGACGGTCACATTCCTCATGGCCTTTACGGGTATCTGAGCTATTCTGTCCCTGTCAGCCCCTACACCCACATTAGAGATGCCTGAGGAAGGATGGAAGATGTTTGCATGTTGATACAAGATTATATAAATTTGGATTGACACTCTGTGAACTTGCAATATTTTTTATTGTAAAAGTTATTGCAATAGATCCCCCAGGTCCATGGAGAAAACCTGAACCTTCTTGTCAAGAGCAAGCCTAGTTTTCAGGTGGTCACCCCCAGAGTGGTTAGCCTTGGAGCCTTGTGAAGCAGATTCTGAGACAGTGGGAGGAATTGCCACCACCCACCCTACCCCAAATCATGATTCCTCCAGCTGAGGCTGTGGAAGTGTTGCTTGGTCTCCTCATCTCACCAATGGGTGCCACTCTTGTTCCCACTTTATTGGAGAAACTTGCACAATTGTTTGACAAATTCATTAGCAGCAGGTGTCTTCGGGTTTCATCAAGGTGTCTTGCCAGCTGGAGCCCCTGGCTAGTTGATCATGTATATGCATATAATGGATTTTCCTCATGTCACTTGGTTGTCATGGGACCATGGGCATGTTTTCAAAGCTTCCCATGCCTCCATTTCCTCATCCGCGTAATACAGGTAACAAGAGTCCACATAACAGGGCTGCTTCGAGGGGCAGTGTGTGGGAAGAGCTCAGTACAGTGTGTGGCAGACAGCGAAGGCTCAATAAAAAAAATGTTAATTTGTATTATTGCCACTATTGTCCTTCCAGGTGCCTTCTGGGTGGTATGACTGATGCTGCACTCCCTGCCCCACCCAAGGAGTTCATGTCAAAGTCCCTTCACAGGAAAATAACGAGGGCCATCCGGCCACAAGGAGCTAACTTGTTGGATTAGTGTGTATGAGACTAAATTGAACTTCATCAGTCCCAGCTGTCCATCGTCAGGGAAAATCATCAACCTGTGTTGAACAGTTTCATCCAGTGAACTGCGTCTTCTGTACGTTTTCCTTGGCGGCCTGCCAGCAGCCACCCCAAACACTTGTCAACTTTTCCTGAGCCAGTGAGATTGACATCTTTACAACCACTCTACAAATACAAAAATTAACATTTTGGCTGCTTGTCATAACTTGTCAAAGTCCACAGGCAGCAAAGATAGGTTTTGCACCTGCTCTATGCCTGCTCTCAAAGTACCATGCTCTCAGGGCAGCACTGCAGTGGCTTGGCTGTGTGTTCACCATGTGTACTGTGGCTGAGCTAGAGTAGGGCCAGTCCCCAGCTGGGTCTACACTTAGAATATTGCCAGCTTTTCCTCCACTGAAACACGCTGGTGTCCCTGTAAACCCGTAGTTTGTTTTCTTAGGCAAAGATGTTCTAAAAGTTGAATTGCTGGATCAGCAAACTATGTTTCCAGGCATTTATTAGCCTCGAGAAACAAAGTACAGTTTGAAACTCCTCTGATGGTGACGGTGGTTACTTCCCTTTCCTTTGCTGTTAATTCTTTTAATCAGCAAATGTTTTATTGGGCATCTGTTTGATTCAAGATATTGGTTAAGTATAGCACATTAGTATTTGCTGAGATTTGAATGATCTTAATAAGTAGAAAATATTTATTTATTTACTTATTTAGTGTTGACATTCCCTTCGGTGATACAGACAGTAGTAAGCTGCCTGTACTCCAACAAATAGCCCTACCCGTGATATTTGTAGGCAGAGACTGGTTGGAGAAAAGGGATTCAGAGAGAGACTGTGGAAGATAAGAGAGGATAGTGGGTATGAATGTAATCACAAAATATATGAAATTATACATAATTATATAAACAAATAAAGTAGAAATAGATATTTAAGAACATACAAATGGTTAAATCTGCTTACAAGAAGTTAAACATTGCTCATAATTAAATTTAAATCAGAATAGCAGCAAGTACTGAATGATTAAATGTAGACACAATTGCTTCTGACAGCACCAAACTATTCCTGAGAGTTTGATGGACACAGATGACACTCCTTTTGGAGTTCATTCTCTCCTCGGCTACTGGCCTCTTGGGCAAAGAACTGCCCCCACCTCGACTGCTGACTTTGGACATGCTGTCCTACTGGGCTAGCAGGAGAGAAACTTAAGAAACTGCTGAACCCTGCCAAGTCAGGGTAAGACAGTCTTTCAACTTCCCTGCTTCCGTGTTGGTCAGTCTGATACTCTGGGCCTTAGCCAAAGTTGGTAGCCCCAGTGCTGCTCTGAAACTTTGGGTGGCTGTCCAGGTAGCCTGCTGTTTCTGTCTTCACTTGCACCTTTTGGAAGTCGCTGGCTCGCACTTCCTGTCTACCCTAGTAATGCTATCTTCCTTCTCAGGTTTTGATGAGGTTGAAGATTAGACTGTCACAGCTATTGCCCCATTTTCTTAGATAGAAATATTAGGTACAAGACTTAAACTTTCCAGTTTAGAACAGCTTCTTAGTCTCTATCATGTCTTTACCCTGGGCCTGGATATGTAGTTTATGCGAATTGCTCTATGTTGCTTTACTGGTAGTAGGTCCTAATTTGTTTTTACCTTTCCTTATCCTAGAGTATACTTGATATTTGCTATCACTGTGTATAGTCTTGTATCAAGCCTAAACCTTCTTCTTTAGACTAAAAGGGAAATTGTAGCGATATTTTGTCTGAGAACCTGTAACAGTGGCCACACCTTTTGGGCTTGGTTACATGTAGGCAGGTGACTCATTAAAGGGGAGGTTGGAGGGGGAGAGCCCCTTGGGTCACAGAAACCACGGGAGAGGCAGTGTCTGCATTGAAGCCAACAGTCACTCACTGTTACCTGTATAAGTCCATCTCCAATAAAACACCATTTATTGTTTATACTGGGTCTGGTAAATTCATAATTTCCACGCCTTCAATTAAAGAGTAAACATAATGAGAAATAAAACAATGATATTTTAAACAAAATTATGAGTGCTCAAAATCATTTCATATGCTTGGTTTCTCATTGCCCCTTTTCACATTCACTCTGGTGATGTGGAAATAAATATTTCTCATTATTTGCTATGCTAACTAACCACTCTATCTTGTCTTTATTCCAGTTAAATGAATAGAAACACTTATTTTCCTCTTAAGAAATAAAATGGAGTTGGACAGTGGTGGTGCATGCCTTTAATCCCAGCACTCGGGAAGCAGAGGCAACTGGTTCTCTGAGTTCAAGGCCAGCCTGATCTAAAGAGCTAGTTTCAGAACAGCCAGGACTACACAGGAGAACCATTTCTTGAAAAAATAAAAAAGAAGAAAGAAAGGAAGGAAGGAAGGAAGAAAATGGAATCCAGTTCCCATAAAGAAAAGATGTATTCTAAAAATATAGCTTGCTAACCACAGACTAAAAGGAAGCATCAGCAATACAAATACCCAATAAACTATTCACATTTACATATGTAAATGACCCTTGCCATTTAAGATGACAAATGAGCAAATAATAAAATGGGAAAAATGCTTGGATAAACATTCATCCAGAGAAGAAATACAAAAATAAATAAACTTGGGGAAATTCATTCAACATCATTAGCCATAGGAAAAGCAACACTGCAATGAGCCATTACTACAGATCCACTGGAGAGCATTCAATAAAAGTGGTGTGCATACAAGTGTTACAAGGATGTAGAGCAGACGACCCCCAGTGCTCCTGGATGCACTGCCCAGTTGTACAACAGCTTGGAAAACAGTTCATCGGTATCATGAACTAAACACGTGCTGAGGAGATAGAAAAAGATAAACAGGAGCTGTTTAGGAAATAATCACAAACCACATATTTGGCAAAAGACTGACATCTAGAAAGCACCACTGCACCCATATAAAGCTCTCAAAATTAAAAAAGTCAACTATCTAATTATAAAATGGGCACAACGTAAGAACAGGCCTTATACCAGTAGACAAATGGCTGCTCGTAAGCACACGGAAAGACAAGATGCCCAAAGCGACAGACAGTAGGAAGACACAAGTTAAAGCCACGATAACAAGCCCCAAGACAGTAGAACCAAAAGCTTCCAATATGGAGAGGCAGGATTTCTCATACCTGCTGTGAGCACAGAAGATGGCACAACTATCCTGGGATATCGCTAGACAGTTTGCTATTAAACTAACATAAAATCCAGGAACTGTGCTTTGGAATTTTATCCTGGAGAAATGGAAACCTGTATTTACTCAGAAATCTGTACATAAATGTTCCTTGCAGATTCGTTAAAAATAGGTTATACTGGAGGCAGTCAAAATGTTTCTTGACTGATGGTTATGCAAACTTCAGTGTGTTCATATCATGGAGCACTACTCCCCAATTAAGAAAAATCCCCAATTTACATGAATTGCAAGGGAATTGTGTACTAAGTGAAAGTTTTAAACGTGAATAGTATGAGTCCAATTATATGATAGTCTTGAAATACAAAACATATTGCTAGTTACAGACAGGGGTGGTGTGGAGAAAGGACGTGAGCATAAATGTACACCTGCCTCAATGACCCCAGACTTTCCAGCAAGCCCGTTCAGTCTTCTGGATTAGAGTCCCCACAGTTGTTTTTCATTTACTCATTTAACAGCCACTGCATGAATTCCCTTCTTGCTCCTGCATCTCCCCATGAGAGTCTCTTGGAGTCTGGCCCCAGAGATGGAAATAATGTAAGGTCATGACAACAAGCTCAGGCAGAGAGAGCAGAAGATCATACTCTGGCTCAAGATCAAAGCTGTTGGAGTCTACATAAGATGCTAAAATGGTGCCTAAAGCATCCTGGTCCATGTGTTTCCTTTCACACCTCATGGAACAGAAACAGGGGCCATCATTTCCTACCACTCTGCCCAGCCTCAGTCTAGAATCAGGAAAGTATAGCACGAGTTAGCCCAGGCTCATCTGCTCTGTTTGGTCACCCTCTATCCTGGAACAGTAAGAGCTGCTGACCAAGACTACCTTCACCCATTCAATTTACCAGAGAGCTCATCCTTGGGGTAGGGAAAGGAATTGACCCTCTCTCTCTCTCTCTCTCTCTCTCTCTCTCTCTCTCTCTCTCTCTCTCTCTCTCTCTCTCTCTCTCTCTCTCTCTCCTTCCCTCTAGTCTGATGCTAGGGTGAGCATCAGAATTCAACCACTAAACCACTTTGCAAATCCCTAGCTCTGCATTCCAATTATTCTGCACAGCTTACTTCCCTAGGCAACCCTTTGCTTATTGGGAGGCCAGGGTTCTGAGATGGATCTTCCGGGCATCCCAAGTAGGGTTAGTGTGGCAAAAACTATTAGCTCACTATACTGGCTGCTACGGTTTGGTTGTGAAATGTCTTCTATAGACTCATGTGTTTAAAGGCTTGGCCCCCAGATGGTGATATGTGGGAGCCTGAGGAATCATTAGGAAATGAGGCCTGACTGGTAGAAGTAGGTCACTGGGAGTGGACATGGAGGGTAACAGCCCCTCCCTGCTTCCATCCAGTCTCTGCTTCCTAGTTGGCCCTGTAAGATGTTGTACCACAAGCTCCTGCTATAGACCATAGCACTCCAGCTGCCAAGCTATGTTCACACAATGAACTTCACACTCTAAACTGCGAGCCAGTAGGAATCTCCCCTCCCTCAAGTTGAGTATTCTGCCATAGTGAGGGGAAAATCATGTACTCAGCTTTCCCTCCAGGGAAAAGAACCTGCAGTTTTAGATGCTCACAGTGCTGATTTGGGTAGGAAGGAAAGACTGCGTCTGGCCTCTTTGCCCTTACGAATGACCTGGAAACAGAGCTGTGACCACTGAGACAAGAGCAAGAATATGGTACAGGACTTCCTAGAAGGAAGGCTGCTGACATAACTGTAGGGTGGGTGACGGGGATTTCTGTCCCCTGTGTTGCCTTGAGTGGGGATGGTGTGGTGGTGCTGTAATAGTCAAGGTCTGGGTGGTAAGAAAGGCACAGGCAAAAGATGATGGAGTGGAAGGAGTGTTCTTTCTTTCATCTGCCTGGGCCACGTGGCACCAGGCTGGCCTGTGGATCCAGGAGTGTTCTGATGACCCGACACCACAAGCCATCCATCATACCAGTCTGAATTGCCCACCACCGAACATGTTTGATTTGCAAGGGAAGCTACATTTCTAATTTCCCTGAGTCACTGTTGACTTGAGGGTTCTGCCCTGTGCCTCTGACCCCAACCCTAGAGGACTGGCTTATTCTCTTCTGTTCCCATGACCCCTCAGTGGCCTGCTGCATTCTGCTAGGATTATCTCTCTATGTTTACTTTCTCCACTTGACTGAGAATTCGGCAAGAGGGAGAACCACATTTTAGCCATCTCCAGATACCCCCCACCTTCCTTCTGGCACACAACAGGCACCTATTTAATATTTTTAAGTGTTTACAGGAGAAATTTTCCAAGGTAAGAGTCAGAAGCTAGCTGGAGTTGGCATTCCCTACGCTCTTTGTCTCTGGGGTAACTCTCCCCTCTACAGATAAACTCAAGGTGACGGGCATTGGGAGCTCCTTGATAGCCAGTTGCACTAGCTAGGATCAGATGCATGGGTGAAAAAAGCCTTTGTTGGCATTCCACCCACCTACCCCGAACCTTCCCCCTCATGACTGAAAACAAAATCAAGGCTTTGTTTAGGCAAAGAGCAGTTACATTTCTGAGTTCTCAGACTCCAGCAAAAGTTTAGGAGTGGAAAAAACATACCCCCCCCACTTTATTCTTTGCACCCTCAAGGCCATATTTACATAAGGCTTTCAAATTCTGAGTACATTTGCCTTCCATTTACCTTCCCATCAGCAGACATCCAACCACCTCTGAATTTACTTCTGTCCTTTTTATTCTGCAAACAAGCTCACCTAATAATATTCCCCCCAGTAAAGGTGGGCACTTTACAATTTGTGTGATATTGCTCCACGGGGGAAAGGCAGTCAGAGCAAGGCTGGAATGACTTATGGGCAAGCAGGGCCCAGACAGGATTCCAGTTTGGACATTTTGCCTGCAAGCAGAGGGCAGGTAGGGACAGTTTTTGCTGGTGGCATACTGGAGAGCCCATTTTTCACCTGCTTTAGAGCAATCACTCTGGCAGGAATACATGGGATGCAGGAGGGAGGAGAGAACAGCTCTTGAAAAACTCTGGTGCAAGAAGGCATGATGGACAGGAGTGGGGAGGGAAGAGCAAGAGGAAATGAGGTCCTGGAGACGGCAAGGTTTGGCATCCTGAGTATAGGGTGATAGTTTGTGCTCTTAAACAGGGTACGTGGCTGGTAAATTTGAGATGAAGGCACCCCACTATTCCCACTTTTGTTTGATGTTTACTCTTGAGAGAAGAGGTTATACATAGAGGGGCTGTGCTCTGGAGGCACAGGCAATGCCTAGCAAAGACTGAGCATAGGGGAGATGTTGGCCCTTCATTTTCCACTGGCATCACTATCCCAGCCCCAGTGAGCATCGCATTAACCCAGAGTGACTCCAACCTTCCTTAGTGTCTGACTCTGTCCCCTAGACCATGCTAACCTCTCGTTTTCATGTGACAGGCCAGAGCAGAAGATGCACGTTGTGCTATCAGCATTACATGAGCATCTCTAAAGGGCACTTACCTCCTGACCAGCAGATGCCCCATCACATAGTGGTCAACATGCTAAACACTAGAGGAAGTCCAACATGTAAACGCCAGACCGTGAGAAGAAGGGAAGAGAAAGGTGTCATTCCTATGAGCTGGAAGGATGCCAGGAACTGGCACACTGCTATCAAACAGACAAATCCAGAAGGTGCCAGAGTCAGGGGCACAGACATAAGCCATAACCACTAGGCAACAGAAAGAGCAGCCTGTGCCAGATCTATGCTTTACCAGCCTAGGCGATATAGTAGTTTTTAACATTCCCATTCCCAGGATAGAAGAAAGCTGGAGGGCCGAATTGAGAATCTTAGGCAGCAACAAATAGCAAGAACACACTTGTATGGTAAGATAATTGGGCATTT